ATAAACAGCTACTCACTCTAAAAACTAGTGTGTTCATGACTAGACATACAAAGGAAAATTATAAAATTACAAAATATGAGTTAACAACATCAAGCAGCATTAGGCATTGGCCAGTATAAGATTCTGACGGTATGATGACCTTAATTGAAAATATCACAGTTTCACTGCACTACTGTACAATGTAATTACTGCTCTAAAATATATTCTTTTAAATGTCTGGGTAATAAACAAACACTTTTTCCTCTTTGAGCACAATATATTTTCTTTTGAGAAGCTTTTAAAATATTTTGGAGCAGTAAACATGTCAGGCTAAATCATTCTAATGAATCATTGACTTCTTCTATCTTCATTTGTTTCATGAAAACAGAATTCTTTACGATTTAAAAGGACATTTTTGGAGATCTTTTCTACTGGAGATACTGTTGTCCTGAAAATCTTGAAACAAAACATAAAAAATAGAACTAAAATAAAATAAAATAAATTACATATACCGTAGGAACGATACAGCAGAAAATATTGGCATTTCAAAACCTTGACTTTTTTCAAACAGCTCAATACCTTGAAAACGGTTATCGTCTCATGCCTAGCGGCATAACACTTTTAGGATCTAAAATTAATTCTTAAAAAAAAGTCCCAAAAGTCATTTAGACTAGTTTGTTGGCCAGTTGTAGTCAGTGCAATGCTAAACGTTATTGTTCCACTATAGTTTGTTTTGTCTCATGTTGTCCGACAACAACATTATTATAGTTAAGAATCCTGTACAATGTTTTATAACAATTATTGTAGTGTCTATTTCATTCAGCTTATTTCAAATTGGGGGAATCCACGTTTTCTGACATAATTTAAACCAAAGTTTCAAGGTGTCACCAAGTTAAATTTAAGACTTTAAGACATTTTTAAGACCATTATGAATAAAATTTTAAACCAAATAATTTTTCAAAAGGCCCAGATGAAAAAAAAATTATATGTCCTATCAAAAAAATATTTTTATATTAAATATTAATAATACAATAATTATTTAATAATATTAAATTTAAATATTTTAGATATTTCCTAGCAAAATATCTTAAATATTGTGTCAAAACAAGCTAGCTTTACTTGTAACCATACACTTTTTTCCAACAAAAACTTTATTTAAAATAAAAAACAAATGAACAAATGTTTTAAACATTTAAAAAAAACTGTCACAAACTGAATCTATGTACAACAATCTATCCAGGTCGATGTCCTCAGCAGTAATACATAAAGCAGATTTGTAAATGTTATTGTAAGGAAAATAATTAAACCATTATGATAAATAGAGTTAAAATGACCTTTTTGAATTAAAAGTTAAAAGTTTTATTGAGATGGATTGTTGGTGATTGTGTGGGTTTTTGCCAGATTTGACAGCAAAACATGAACAAAGGAAAATGAAGAGTTTATTTAAGACCTACAACTCAATATTTCAGTAAATTTAAGACTTCTTAAGGCCTAAATTTTAGATTTTGGAGTTTACAACATTTTATGACTCGCGGAAACCTACTAACAACTACTAGAAACAAGTTTAATCCCATAGAAGTTGATTTAAAAAAGGGAATTGTGATCAACGTGACAAATGCAAATGGAAAGTACTAAGCCAACACCATCAACCTAATAGCAGATATCTTCTATGAGAATACTGTAGGTCAAACATCGTCAGCTCAGTTAAACCTTTTTAATTTATCATTTTTATTAATTTTATATAGTGCCAGTGCTCAAGGACGCTTTACAAACAGTAAAAAAACAAGAAAAGCAATAACCTTAAGAAGGTAGAGAAAATGGGAGACTAATAATACATAAAATGAATGACAAAAGACACGAGAACAAGTAACAAAAGAAACTTATTCCTGTCTTTCAATAAATGCTTATGTGCATTTAGGAGAACTAGGCAGCACACTCAGGGCTTAATTTAGGCCGTACTCACACTAGGTACAGTTGCCTCGAACCGGGCCAAAGCACGCTTGTCCCCCCTCCCGTCTCCCCCGACGGCCCGCGCTCACACCATATCGGGCCTCGGCACGCTTACGTCATCGCTGCTGCGCTGTTCAGAAGCGCTTTCTATGGCAAGCCTTTTTAGCATTTAAATCTTTGCTCTGACTCCATAAATATATTTAGAGATATCTCTAATTATATTTTGACTAGTCATAATTATAATTCGACTAGTCAGAATAACAATTAGAGATATCTGCAATTACAATTGTACAAGTACGAAATCAGATTGGAGATATCTGCAAATATATTATGACTAGTCATATTCCTCCATTGACTTCCATTGAAAAATATTTGCAGATATCTCTAAATGAGTTTTGACTAGTCACAATTGTAATTAGAGATATCTCTGAGTTTTTACTAGTCATAATACATTTGGAGATGTCTTTAATTCGTCATATTTAGAGATATTTACAAATATATTTGAAGATATCTCTAATTAATTTACTAATAGTCGAATTACAGTTGTAGATATCTTGAATTGGATTTTTGACGAGTCAAAACTCATTTAGAGATATCAGCAAATATTTTTCAATGGATGTCAATGGAGGAATATGACTAGTCATAATATATTTGCAGATATTTCCAATCTGATTTCGTACTAGTACAATTGTAATTGCAGATATCTCTAATTGTCATTCTGACTAGTCGAATTATAATTATGACTAGTCAAAATATAACTAGAGATATCTCTAAATATATTTATGGATAGTCAGAACAAGGTTTAAATGCTAAAACGGCTTGCCATACGCTCTCACTCAGCAGCACAGTGGAGATTTCTCTAGTTATATCGTTTCAGTCGTTTGATATTCAGTGACATGCAGTCAAATATTTCGCCAAACAGTCCTTAGGGATGCGGGGACACGCAGTCAGATATTTCGCCGAACACTTCCGCCACTTTTGGCGCTCATAAACAATCATTAAGCTCTCGTGCTGCAGGAATGAGGAGGTCTGCTGAAGGCGCGCAGCTGGCGTGCAGTGAGGAATTTGCGTCTTTAATAAACTACGGCAGTTTGCATTCACTGAACAGTAAGAATGATTAATAAATCCATATCAAACAGTCCCTTAAAAGTCACGTCTCGCTTTCGGTTTCGGGCTTTGGCGCGTTTTGCGATCACACACAAGCGTACCGCGCCAAAGCCCAAGTGTACCGCGCTCAGGCACACCTCTTCCAACCGGGCCAGGGCCGGCCAAGTGAACCGTGCTTGAGTGCGATTTAGCGCACTCACACTTCTCAAACGATCCGGGAAACGGGCCTGGGCACGGTACTGATGGCATAGTGTGAGTAGGCCCTTAGTATTCTTATTATGAAAAATATATCAGTATGAAAACCAACCTGTTTGTTCCTGCAGATCTTCCTGTTTGACTGTGAATGTTTCTTCAATCTTCACATCTTCACTCTCCTCTTTAATAAACGCCATCTTTATAACAGTGTGGAGATCAGTCGCTTCAGCAGGAGTTTTTCTCTGTGCTTGGACACTTTATCCTGTTTAAAATGAACAAAAAAATAAAAATGTCCTGTTGAAAATGAATAAAACAATGAAGAGAAACAAAATAACTTCACTTTAACTCTTGCTTCAACAGAAATCAGGTAAAAGATTAAGTCCGAGCAAGATACAATAGCCACAAATTAGCTGAATAAAACTATGTTACTCCATTTCTTATATAGTGATGTTTACTTAGAATGTAATGACATTATGCTATTTAATAAATTAAACCTTCTTTAAAACACATATTACAAACTATCAAAGTACAACATTGTTCACAGTCAAATAAACAGTGTTAATGTTGTTTAGAAGTCATACTTGCATGCTAATAGAGACTTATAAATGAACGAATGTGCGAATATAAAACCAACTTTACATCTATGCCAACAGCAGGTATATCATTTAGCATCTGGTGAAAACCTGAAACTTTAATCAATCCGTTTATATCTGTGTAAAAGCTTTAAAACAAACCTTTCTGCTATTGAATCACAGCGCAGTAGCGGCGCAGCCTCATGACGTCACACGACACGCCATAATAAAAGCCTTCTGTTGGCAGACCAACTTGCATGGTGCATTCCCGCCACCTACTGGATAGAAGTGTGGAGCGCAAAATGTAGAAAAAAGCATGAAAACAAACAAAAAATAAAAAATAAAATGATGAACGAATGGAAGGGATAAGAATACCAGAGGGAAGAGAGAACAGGGGGCTATTCCATAAAACTAGCTTACAGAAAAAGCCAGGCTTATTTTGGTAAGTCACGTTTATTAATGGCAGATTCTCTTTTATAAATCAAATTTACGATAGTTCAAACTTAGTTACCCTGACAACTTATGCTGAAACTAACCTGGTCCAGGGCAGGCTAACGCTCAGGCTAAGTCTTAAGTTTAAGCTTTATATATATATATATATATATATATATATATATATATATATATATATATATATATATATATATATATATATATATATATATATATATATTTTTTTTTTTTTTTTTTTTATGTTTTTGTTTTGGCCCACCCTAAAGTTCCAAGCTGGAGCTGGGCCTACTCCAAAGGTAAGTGTCAAAAAAGCTAAACAAAAAAAATTTTTTTTATTTTATTTTATTTTTATTTTGGCTTGGCGTGTGACGTCATAAGGCTGCGCCGCTCCCACACTGTTATTTCACTGGAGAAAGGTTTGTTTTAAAGCGTTTAAACATATATAAACGGATTGATTAAAGTTTCAGTTTTTCATTCAGTGCTTAATTTTGTACCTGCTGTTGACAATATTATTTTAACCCTTTATACAACGTAATACTATTTTACTCCCAGTGGTGGGGCTTATTGTTTGTTTTAATGAAGGTTCGATTTATTATATAACATAATGTCATTCCATTCTAAGTATACATCACTATATATAAGAAAAGTAGTTAAGTTACTAGTTTTAATCAGCTCATTCTTGTTTTTTTGTTCATTGTTTTATTCATTTTAAACCGAACATTTTTATTGTTTTGTTCATTTTAAACAGGATAAAGTGTCCAAACACAGAGAAAAACTCCCGCTGAAGCGACTGATCTCCACACTGTTATAAAGATGGCGTTTATTAAAGAGGAGAGTGAAGATGTGAAGATTGAAGAAACATTCACAGTCAAACAGGAAGATCTGCAGGAACAAACAGGTTAGTTTTCATTCTCAAAGACCTACTCAGTCATTTGATCCTCATTCAGATATATTTTAATAACAAGAATAAATTAAACCTTGCAGCCCTGAGTGTGCTGCCTAAGTCTCCTAAATGCACATAAGCACTCATTGAAAGACAGGAATCAGTTTCTTTCTTGTTACTTGTTCTTGGTGTTTTGTCGCTGTTTTATGTATTATTAGTCTCCCATTTCTCTACTTCTTAAGGTTTTTGCTTTTCTTGTTCTTCTACTGTTTGTAAATCGTTTCTGAGCAAAGGCGCTATATAAAAAAGTTTAACTGAGCTGACGATATTTGACCTACAGTATTCTCATAGAAGATATCTGCTATTACAGTGATAGTGTTAGCTTAGTGCTTTCCATTTGCATATGCCACGATCATAATTCCGACTTCTTTATGGCTTTAAACTTGTTTCTAGTAGTTGTTACTAGTTCTCACAGACACTATCTAGAATTACATCATTATTTTAATAACTAATTACCAGCGCTATTGTGTTTAAACAGGGCTTCTGCGGAGTCTTAAAATGTCTTGAATTCCAAAATCCAAATTTCAGGCCTTAAAAAGTCTTAAATTTACTGAAATATTTTGTTGTAGGTCTTAAATCTTTTATAGACAAGTCTTCATTTTCCTTTGTTCATGTTTTGTTACCCAATCTGGTCAAAACCCATACAATCACCAACAATCCATCTCAATAAAACTTTAAACTCTTTTTTATTCAAAAAGATCATTTTAGCTCTATTTGTCATAATGCTTTGATCATTTTCCTTACAATAACATTTAAACGTGCTCCATGTATTTACTGCTGAGGACATCGACCTGGACAGATTGTTGTGCATAAATTTACTTTATTATAGTTTTTAAAACTTTAAAAGCATTTGTTAATTGTTTTTTTATTTTAAATAAAGTTTATGTTGGAAAAAAAGTGTGTGGATACAAATAAAGCTTGTTTATTTTTACACAATAATTAAGATCTTTTGCTAAGAAATATCTAAAATATTAAAATTTTCTATCTGGGCCATCTGAAAAATTCTTTGGCCTTTAGACCTTTATGAGTCTAAAATTTCATTCATATTGAAATTGTACTTAAAAGTCCTAAATTTAACTTGGTGACACCTGCAGAAACCCTGGTTTAAAGTATGTCAGAAAACGCGGATGCCCCCAATTTGAAATATGCTAAATGAAATGGACACTAAAATAATTAATGATTATAAAACATTGTCCAGTATTCTAAACTATATGATGTTGTTGTGGGACAATGTGATACAAAATGAACAAACATAGTGGAACAATAACGTTTAGCATTGCACTGACTACAACTGGCCAACAAACTAAGTCTAAAAATGACTTTTGCTGCGTAAGAAATGGATTACAGCATGCTGATGATATGCAAACATCTGAGTGTGACGTTCGTCAGTATTGACCACATTCTTCACGTACCAGCAGGCGCGTCATTGGAATCTTTTTGCTTAAGATTTTTTTAAAGGATGAATTTTTAGATCCTAAAAACAGAAGCTGTTTCTCAATATGCGTTCTTCACCCAGGTGAAAAAAAATATAATACACTATATATTTACACTATAAATATACTAATTAAAAGTATGTTTATACTTCAGTAGGACTTTAGTACACTTGACAAAAGTATATTAAATACCAGTAATACTTAAATAATTTTTTAGTGTACTACAATAAAGTACACTACAGAAAAAACATCCAAAAGACTTTTATTAGTGTGTTTTTCAAAAGTGTGCTTTAAATGTTTTGCACATTAGTTGATTTTAGTACACTGTTTACATACTAATCCTAAGTTTAAAATAAGTTAATATATAAAAATCTATTAGTAATGTATTGTAGTAGAAGTACATTTTCCCAAAAGTTGTACTTTAGTACACTTAATGTGAATGCAATATTATCACTAACACTTAAATAGATTTTGAGTGTGGAAATTTTAAGTTTACATTAAATTGACTTTATTAAAAATCTATTAGTAATGTATTGTAGTAGAAGTACATTTTCCCAAAAAAGTCTAAACAAAATGTAGTATTTTAACCAACAGTACAGCTACACAAAGCCTACTGCTTTACCACATGTTTGAGAATAACAATAATAATAGCCCATGCACTCATAACTTTTATTTTACATCTGCAGAATCGTGAGAAAATCTTGATCTTTATTTTAGGCAAAAAAAATCACTATTTTCATTTTAGCCACAGCATATAATTAGAATAATTGTCTCCTCCTCCAGTTCAGCTATAAACACTGGAATATTCCCATCAGGCTCCAGTAAAGAGTTTATTGAAGGACAGCAAAAACATGAGTGATCCAGAACCCTGCAAAATTAAAAATGAAGACTCTGAACAACAAATAGGTTGGTGTTTATAACTGATCAGGAGTGGCACGGGAGGTTGTTGGGCTTCAGCCCTGATTGTTTGTTCCAAAGTGGTTTTAAGTTTTGTCAAAACGTAGTTTTTCAACATATTATTCAGAAATATTTTAACCGGTTTATTATTGCTTTCCCACAGGATCAAGAAGCAATATCAGCTGTGCTTTCTAAACCTGTTTACTTTATTTAAGAGTTTTTTTTGTTTTTATCAGAGGCAGCCCCACAGCAGTAAGTGCTTTCTGTCTCTCTTTTCTGAAAGCGAGTTTACACACACCATCGTCCTGCATAGCCACACCTCCTGACAGTCACTCAATGCATTCGTCTCATATCGCCACCACAATTGTACTTCATGTTTGTTACCAGCTTTAATTTCGTATTAAAGTAAGCTTGTTGGAAATTCTGAGGAGAATGTCGGGTTGCTATTGTAACTACACACGCAAGAGAGTCAGGCACTCTTGTCTTGCTTCATTTAAGATTTACCTCAGATTTTGACTGACAGTTCAGTATGATCTGACGAGATGCTACACGCACAGGCTGTTCTGATTAGCTGTGAGTTTTGATTGATTAATTCAGGAGTATTTATGTGAAAGTGAAGTCTGATAACAATAAATATTCTCATTAGGAATAAAACCACCTGTTTTTATACCCGTGCTGACTCTGCAGAGCTGTCCCTATAAAGTTAGGTCTGCTACTAGTATTTTATACTGGGTAGGCTACTTCATTTATTTTATTATAACATAATTTGCTGAAAATTATGCCTTAAATTAGCAGGATTTTGAGGGTAATTTAATCTAAATGATTACAGCCACAACTATAAAAAAACATAACTTGTAATAAAACGGGCAGGAATTAGATGCTAAGAATCCCATACTTGATATATAATTTAAATTTTGATTTCTCTTGTCTAATTTCTGCATGCACATTTTTCCACTTGCTACTCTGCCAGAAACTTTGCCGCTGGAGAGCACCTTCAGTAATAGTTTAAACATTTGTTTAGAGATGGACCGCAAGATGTGCTCAACAGAGTGGCTACATGTGGTGAAAAACAATGGCAAAGCTAAGTGTAAATATTGTAATGAAAGTAATAAGTTATAAAGCAGAGTGTCGCAACCAACATGACAAAGCATCTGAGGTTTTTTTACATACTTCAAGAATATCAAATTTAAAGAATGGCTTGTTAGGTTCATTGTGCTTCTCGCGGGTGCAACTAACAACAAATGTACATTTTAGTTGAACTCTTTGAGCGTGATGAGCAGTTCAGTGTTAGTTTTTATTTCAATATCTTGAGGTGAAACTAAACTGCGCATTCTCTCCGTCTCCACATTCATAAAACAGCAGGACGCTCTGCTGAAGCACGCAAGCTTTACACTCCGTCATTGATAATTAACTTAACTGTTGTATTGGAGTCGAAAGAATATATGAAGTAGAATTTTTTTAACAGTCCAGATGTTTAATCTTTTCTTTTTGCAATTTTTTAAAAAAAAATTCTCTTCTGCAAATTAGATTTTTTTTTAAACTGCTTGATTCTTTAAAAACCAAAAGCAGCATCCGTCAATTGGTGATTTTCCAGAAGATACACCTTTGTGAATGTCTTATTTTGTGTATAGTCTTTAATGTGCTTTTTTATAATTTTATTGAGATGCAAATAGGGATAATCAATAGGGATGTCCCGATACAACATTTTAACTTCTGATACAATACCGATATTGCAGCCTTCAGTACGAACCAATGCAAATCCGATATCAGCACAAATTTTTTACCAATTTCGTTGAGTGGAATTTATGAACGGCTAGATCAAACTGAGAACAAAAGTCAGCAACAGTAAGTATGGAAATAACCAATTTATTAACTATTGGTTGCATAAATGTGAACCTTTTACATAAGAATATATATAAAAAAATAATTAAAGAATACATATTAAGACCTTGAAAAAATATCTTAATTGAATAAACAAAACATATTTTTTAAAGTGCAAAATACTAGTTAAAGGTCACTTCAGTTACTATTTTTTTTACCATCAGTAAATGATAGAAACAGCTGAGAGCAGGAACATAAGAAGAAAAAAAAACATTGTTAATTGCACAACTGCTAAAGGTTGAGTGTCAATAGTTTCAATTTTACACACTGCTTCTTGATGATTTTTTTATCCAGTTTCGAGCAAAAAAAAAAAAAGTGCAGTATGGGTAGTACAAACATTTACATGATCAGATCTATTTAATCTGTGTTTGTATCATAAGAAGATTGTGGCTGTATCAATGTACCTAAACAAAACATTATTAATTTTATAATAATATATAAATTGCACATATTATCTTTAACATAAATATACTTACAGTGGCTTGATTGTGGCTGTTTTTCACAGCACATACAATACAATACAAATGTCACTTTTGAGAATAATTTTATTTATCAAAATTAAATTTATTTGCATAATATATTGCACAGATTCCACCGACTGCCCACATGAGAAAAGTATGACAATGTAAATAAAGACAGAACTACAAACTCATGTGCAAAGCTGACACTGATTATCAGAACAATTTATATTTCTGGGCATTTTAAAGAAGAGTTAAATATGGGAACACCTCTAATTAAATTTTCATTCTGCCTGAAGGTAAAACCATTCTTTCTTTTAAACTGTAATGGTTATTTCAATTCATGAAGTTCATTGAATTGAATCTGCTTAAATGTGTACATGTTAATGGACCAAACAAAATATGATCTGATTTATTTTACATTTAATGTGCAGCTAAATCACTGAGTGTGTGTAGTCAATAGCTGCGTCCCAAATGGCACACTATACACTATGCACTCATGCACTATGTACTTATGCACTTACACACTCAACAGGATAGTACATGTATGTAGTGTCGTCCCAAATGGCACACTAATGTGTTTTTTACTAAACGGAAATTCAAACCGTTTCCCTGATGACGTTTGACGGTCGCCAAATCAGTGAAATAAACGACCGAATTATCAAATAATACCTATCATGAGTATTGTCGCATTCACCATCGGGAGGCGATATAATCACTCTCGTAGGAGAATTTTGCTTTCTCCATCCAAAATAAATAAAGTTATCCAACATGTGCGTCCGATAGCTCCGCCCCTTCCGCTACGTAGGCAAACCTGCGGTCGTTGAGTGCGTGAAGTGTCCATCATTACACACTTCATTTTAGCGGCTGAATGAGTGCATCATCCGGGTAATTAAAGTGCACTTATTATTTTAAGAGTTTTCAGTGTGAACACACTACTTAAACTATTTATACTACAAAATGGCGTAGAATAGTGCATAAGTATGCGATTTGGGACGCAGCTACAGTTTCCAGTGTCTTTTCACTTTTCAGCTTTTGATGACAGTTTTTAAGACTGATATTTTATTTATTTATTTCAGACATAATTAAAGAGAATAAGGGGAGTAAAGAAGAGGAACATCATGTCAAAATTGAGGGAAAAACCCATTTACAGACTGATGGTATTTTGAAAAGGAGAGACAAGAATCGTTTCACCTGCACTCAGTGTGGGAAGAGTTTTGGAAGAAAAAATAATCTTAAGATTCACATGAGGATCCACACTGGAGAGAAACCATTCACATGCACTCAGTGTGGGAAGAGTTTCATCCGCTCATCATGCCTTAATCAACACATAAGGATCCACACTAGAGAGAAACCATTCACATGCACTCAGTGTGGGAAAAGTTTCAGCCACTTATCACACCTTAATTACCACATGAGGATCCACACTAGGGAGAAACCATTCAGATGCACTCTGTGTGGGAAGAGTTTCAGCCAGTCATCACACCTCAATCACCACATGAGGATTCACACTGGAGAGAAACCATTTACATGCACTCAGCGTGGGAAGAGTTTCAGCTGCTCATCACACCTTAATCAACACGCAAGTATCCACACTGGAGAGAAACCATTCACATGCACTCAGTGTGGGAAGACTTTCAGCCGCTCATCATCCCTTAATCACCACATGAGGATCCACACTGGAGAGAAACCATTCACATGCACTCAGTGTGGGAAGAGTTTCAGCCAATCATCATCCCTTAATCACCACATTAAGATCCACACTGGAGATAAACCATTCATATGCAGTCAGTGTGGGAAGAGTTTCATCTGCTCATCACATCTTAATCACCACATGCGGATCCACACTGGAGAGAAACCATTCACATGCACTCTGTGTGGGAAGAATTTCAGCTGCTCCTCGCACCTTAATCACCACATAAGGATCCACACTGGAGAGAAACCATTCACGTGCACTCAGTGTGGGAAGAGTTTCAGCAAATCATCAAACCTTAATCAACACATGAGGATCCACACTGGAGAGAAACCATTCACATGCCCTCAGTGTGGGAAGAGTTTCAGTAAATCATCCTACTTTAATACACACATGAGATATGCACTGGAGAGAAACCATTCACAAAAGCCGTGGTCACACGGGACTTTTCTCCCCGTAGACTTCCATTCATACGCACGCAAATGCGTTAGACCCGAAAAGCAAGTTTGTGCGACAAGTTTCGCAGTTCACTGCCTTGCAAAGAACAAGATTGATGAACTCTGACCTGCGAAGTCACATCACTTGACTGTGTAAGACCAATCGTAGATCAAACCATGACCTCTATGGGCAGAAATTTAAAATATGGACCAATCGCTAGGGTTGGGTATCATTTAGGTTTGTTTCGATACCAGTGCTAAATCGATACTTTTAAAATAATACCGGTGCCTAAACGGAGCCTGAACCGATACTCTTAAGCCACAATTATGGTGAGTGACTCTAGAATTTTTTTTTATTTGACACTCTTTTAAAAATAATTTTATCCAAACAGAATAATTAAAGTTTAAAGTAAACGTCAATTCATATTTTATATATTTGAATTGCATTAATATATTTCCTTTGAATGTTTATTTGCAGGCAGGGGTCACTTGTACTTTTGGGGGCACATTTTACCATTTCACAAAATGCTTTAAAAAATATTCAGTCATTTTTTTCATGCATCATTCTACAGTCTTAATAAACAAGATTAAATAACTTAAACTAAAAATAATCTTCCTTGTTAATTTATTTGACAAGTAACTTTGTACTGCTGTACAAATACCTTAATAAACACATGAAGACCCACACTGGAGAGAAACCATACACAAGAACTCAGTGTGGGAAGAGTTTCAACCGATCAGCAAACCTTAATGAACACATGAAGATCCACACTGGTGTGAAAAAGTTTACGTGCTTTGAGTGTGAGAAGACTTTTGTTACAGTACCAAAATTGAAACTGCACCAGACAATTCACACTGGAGAGACCGTACAAGTGTTACAGTGTTGTGTGATACAGTTAACGCATCTGAATCACACAAAAGAGGATTCACATTGGAGAGAAAGCTTGCAGATCTGATCAGTGTCTACAGAGTTTTAATCATTCGGCGCAGCTTAAGAAACACTTGAACAAAAAGTTGCACACATGACATAAATGCAGCAAAACCTTTTCTCATGTGCAACGAATGTTTCATGTCTGAATATTGTTTGAAAAGGCTGATTGACGATATACTGTTTTCCAACACTCCTACACTGCAGAAGGTGGGGTTGTAAATGTGTTTCGCTTCTTGCGTTTTCCGTAAACACAGTAATAGTGAATGAGAGAAGAACAGTTTCAAAAACATCTGGCAAACAGCACCACTGTGGCTTAATCTCTTTGCAAGTGATTGTACTGGTGCAGATACATCTGTACTCCACTCTCCAGTGTATTCATGTAGCTAGTGTTGTTTTGGATGATGTTCTCTGTCTGACTCCCTGAATGGGAAACCAATAACTGGGAAGACACTGCACATCAAAGAGGGTGGAGCTCCAGGACTGTTAGTTTGCAGTATACCAGGGCCTGAAGTTTAAAAAGCCCATTCAATTGTCCTGTGTTGCAGCTTTTATTTGTAAAGATTCTTTACTTTTACACAGCAAAACTGCTGGTGTAAAAATAACACCAACAGTGTCAAATTTAACACCAGCAAAGGGTCTATATGTGTCCACACTAAGAGTGTAATTTTTTTTACACTTTTGATAGTGTTTACTCTTTCACACCCTCTAAGTGTAAATTCAACACTCCTTGTTAATTTTGAACCTAGTCAACACTATTTGTTTTTGTTACTGCACTACACCAGTGTTGGTACTCACAGCATTAATTTTTAATACTCTACTTTTAAGATCAACAAAAGTGTAATTAGAATATAGCTTTAATGAGTGTTGAAAATACTGATTTATAGTAGCACTTTTGTTACATTTTGGTTCTTTCAATAAAATTAAAATGGCATGACAGTTGCAGAAAAGATTGCAAAAACTTTATTAAGGTACACCACATTTAACATTCACATTCAGTCACAGCATTTAAAAACCTTTACAGTTAATTCCAATCTGAAACAAAAATACAACAGGGAACAATGTAAGTTCTCTCGTCACGGTCATATGAAAACTGCCTGTCATAAGGTCTTTCACAATAATACTGCTAATCTTATTAAAAAAGGCATTTCATTTTCAACAGAAGAGCAACAAACATTCCAACTTGGTATTCAGTTCCATAATTTTTTACCCAGGTTGTAGTGGAGACAGTGGGTACATTCCAAGTTTCAGTTAAAAGCTAATTACCCTCCAGAGTGCAAGTAGAGACGAGACTTCATTAAAAGGACCAAACTGAAATTGTTTAAAATAAAAACTCTCCAATGAAAAGCCAACTGATATTTATGTTTCTTGGCTAAGGTTTTGGTTATGTTTTTAAAGTTTTTTACAGACTTCTTAAAAAATGTATGCTTTCCTTCGAATCGCATGCACCTCATATGTATAAGTGGACCTATTTTCCTAATACATCTAGGATAATGGATCCTTAGATGGTGCTTCGGAATCAATCTTTTTTTCAGGAAATATGGACTTAAAAAGTTTATGATGATCAGAAATTAAATGCTTCAAAAAATAAGTCATACCCTGTGTTACAACGGGTGAGAACACAATGTTCACAATCTGAATCAAAAGCAGTATCAGTCTCCAGTAATCATTGTCCATGTCAACTAGATCTCCAAATATCAAGGGGGTATTGCGCAGAAGGCACCATGACTGAATAGCATTAGCCGCATTTCCACTATCAGGCCAGTGCGAGCCAGGGCTTATATCGGGCCAGGCCGGGCCAATCGCCCGGGAGGTTGAGCAGTGAGGCCGAAATCATGTCGCGTTTCCACTGTGGGGCTAGTAGCTTGCAGCGCGTCAGCAAACCCCGACCCCAGAACATCCCCCGAATCGAACGTCACTCAAACCGCCCACTTCAGCGAGAATCATGCAGATAAAGCACATCGTCACGAAACTATTAAAATAGGACAACCAAAACAAACAAATGACACGATAATGTACAGCAGTACAACGCATGTCTATACGCACATGCCTGTGTGTTTTCATTCATCATATTCATTTACTCGCCGACCGACTGGCATCGCCACCAACGGAGGGACCTAGCACAGGGAGCGCACACATCCATAATATAACACCACATATATAAAATTCTCCGTTAATAACTCGATATAAAATGTATTTTATAACATCCTCTAGACAGACGCTGTCCAACATTCATCCCAAATGCTCCGGAGAGAACTGAAACATGATTATTTTTCCCCCTATAGGCTTTATGACACTTAATAGGTGATTCCCTTTATTTAAAGACGTTGCTTATTATATCGTAAGTAAAGGAAAGTGTTCAGTGTTTCAGCACATAAGAGCAGCACGTAATAAAATATAGCCTATATTTCGTTGCGCTCAGCAGCAATGCACTATAAAGCTCTTTATGTATTTTAAATTTCCTTTTTTAATTTTACCACGTTATATAAAAACACACACACTTGTTTGAGGACACAGAACACATTTTGAACTTGCAGTTTTTTCCGTCTAAAAAAGTGCTGCGCAGCTGCAGACAGAAAAAAAGGTCGCCTATTTCTGCTTTCACTCACCCCGAAAATGCTCTGTTTGCATGATTTGATTAATTTCATCGTATCCATATACTTTATAAATAATATTTAAAACATTTGCCGGTGTTTATTTATTTATTTATTTTTTAGAAAATCTTTTTTTCAAAGAGGCTTTTGAAAAATGAAAGTTTAGTATAAATTTGAAACAGTTTGATATAGTACCTAATTGTTATAGCTATAGCTTTTATTAGTTTTTTATTGGTTTATTTATTTAATGTGATTTTATTATAGGCCTATCTGATATTTGTAATTCTTTAAATTATTTAAATATAGCTTAGGCTATTTTATCTAGATATGACACTATTGTTTTGAGCCTACAAAAGCGGACATGAAAATTGTAAAGTTTAATGTCTTTCTGTTGTATTCATATAGTGTATTATCTCCAAAATAAATTAAAACAATAACAATAAAAGAAAAAAGCCGCTCGCGGCATCAACAGAGCTATGAATGGAGCGCTCTTTTCCTCAGTCTCACACACGCACAGGCATCTAAACGCGCAAAAACACACTTACAGTATTAAACTTGACAAAACCTATGGAAATCCTTTACTGTCTGCTGTGTCTTTAATATGGTGTAAAGATTAGTATGCGTTATTGAAACATCAAAGAGATGCAGCAAAGAAAAGTGACTTATTAAAACTACCATTTTATGCAACAACCTTACATTTAAAAGAGAAACATAAGGGCGATCATATGCAAAAAAGACCCCAGCCTATAATTTGTTCCAGATGTTTTCTTTCTCTTATTTATTTATTTGTTTATGTGTTTGGCGCATGTACTCATGTGCGATCGGAAAACTGTGCCCGCCTCTCCTTTCACTCCGCCCCGAAGCCCCGGCTGGCCCTCTTTGGCCCAAGGTATTCGGCGGGCCGAAAAAAGCCGGCCGCTGGCCCCAAGAAAGCCCCGCTTTGGCCCGATTAGGCCCCGGAAGTGACAGTGGAAACGCCACATGGCCTTGGCTCGCTCGCTTTAGGCGCGATAGTGGAAACGCGGCTATTGACACACACACACACACCGGCATCTTCTCACCTTCAAACAAAAGGGCCTCTGCTGGATACAGGTCATGTGACACTGAGGCCTGTGCTCATCTGCAGCCTGACTAAAAAATAACCAAAGTGTACAGACATGTAACACACTTGGGAGTGGATTCATAAATAGTTTGAGAAAACTATTATTTTAAATACATTAATATTGAAAATGACAGGGGAAAGCATCTGGATTATTTAAAAAATGTCATCATGTGACATGTTGAATCATCATGTGATCAAGCTTGAACACAAACCATAGTTGCGTTCGACTTCATGCAGCGCTGCGCAGATCGATCGAAATCTGTCTTAAAGCGGTGCATTCTGGTTAGAAATCTTGTCCGGATTGATGCTGCGCCGACGCCACGTGACTGTCA